TCGGTCGGGTTGTTGGACACGGCGCGGCCGGCGTTGATGAGACGTTCGATGGCCGACGCGACGTCCTTGGCGCTCGACAGGATCTTCACGCGGGCCACGCGCTCGTCGGTGGTCGACGCCACGGCCTTGGCGGCGCCGAAGACCTGGCCCACGGCGCTGGTGGTGGCCTTGGCCGGCGCGCCCATGGCCTGGGGCGAGACCTTGGCCTTGTCGACCAGGTCATCAGAGGCATCGCGGAGCTGGTCCGCCGCGCGCTTGAGAATGGCGAGGGCGCCCTCGCGCGACTGGCCGGGCATGGCGGCAAAGTTGCCCTCCTGGGCCGACAGCAGCGCGTAGTCGAGATCGGCGGCCGTCGCGGCAAAGGCCTCGAGGGCCTCGTCCACCTCCATGTGACCGCCGGACTCCTTGACAGCTGCGTGTGTGCAAAGCCAGGGTTAGTTCGGTCGACAAGAAAGAATGAAGGCCGTGTGTGGGTGGGCGCGTACCGCTGAGGGCCTCAAGCATCTTCTTGAGCGCGTCGGTGACCTGGGTGGCGGCAGTGTTGAGCTGCAGCTTGGACTGGGGGTCCTTCAGCTTGGTCACGCACGAGCGCGAGACGGCGACGAGGCCCGTGGCGGGCCTGGCCAGCGCCGCGGCGGCATGCATGAGGCGGTTGTCGTACTCCGGGTTGGTGGGCGAGGTCCACGAATCCTTAACCGCAGCCACGAGGCCAGCCGTCGCTGTGTCACACCGCGAAGAGAAAATGTAAGCTTCGCGACACGCGACACGCGACACACGTACACACGACAGGACGGAAGTGACGTACGCGAAGCGGCCTGGTTGGCGCTGTCGACAAGGCTGGAGTAGGTCTCGTAGTCGAGCTGCGAGCCCACGCCCTTGCAGTCGGCGACCAGGGTCGACGTGGTGGCGGCGACGGCCTTGGACGCCGTGCGGAGCGCAGCCATGGCGGCCTCGCGCGTGGTGATGTCACCCAGGATGTGCTTGGTGGCGTCGGCCACGAGGGTGGCAGCATCACGCATCGTCTTGTGAGCCTGCTTGTCGCTCGGGTCGTTGGCAGCAGGCGAGGCGGTCGCCAACATGTTCTTCACTGCCGCAGTGAGGTCAGCCACGCCCTTGAAAAGGCGGTTCTTCTCCTCAGGATCGGACTCACTGTTGTGTGTGTGTGTGTGTGTGTGTGTGTGTGTGTGTGTGTGTGTGTGTGTTGTGTGGTCAGCACTGTACCGCGGCGGGTTGGAATGGCGGGAATGTGGAGCGTACTTGGCAACGGACTTCGCAGCCTGGATGAGTTGGCCCTGAGCAGACGCGACGCTGCGAGAGGCAGTGATGATAAGGTTGGGATTTCCCTCAGACGACATGAGACGCGCAACGGCATCCTGGATTTCAAACGCGGCGGCGGCCATGGCCTCGCGGTTGGCCTGGGTTCGGCTGCCCACGCAGAGAGTCGAGTTGACGAGCTGCTGGAGGGCCTCGGTGGCGGCCTTGGCGGCGCGGGCGAGGTCATTGCGCTGCTGCGGGTCCCTCACGCCGGCCTGGATGCCGGACACGAGACCGCCGCACGAGTCGGTGAGCGCACGCGCGGCATCCACCATGTACTTCTGGCACGTCGGGTCCACAGCCACTGCACACAAAAAAAAATAAGAAATAAATGTGAGTATTCACCAAATGATGAATAATAAATAAATAATAAATAATAAATAGCAGTGGGGCTCTGGGTACCGGGAGCGATGGCCTCGGCGGTGGCGTTGACCTTGCCGCTGCCGAACTCGACCCTCCTGGCGCCCTCGGCCTGAGCGTTGCGGGTGCCGGGGTCAGCGCTGGCGGTGGCGTTCGCGGAGGTGTTCATGAGGTCCTTCGTCGCGGCGGCGACAGCGGCGGCCGAGGCCAGGAGCAGGTTCTTGGAGTCCTCGTCGGCATACTTGCCCTGCGCGGTCGCGTTGAGCGCCGCCGAGGTGGCCTGCAGCGACGCCGCAGCCTCCAGCAAGCGAGCTGTGGTAGGACACCCAACGCATCATTGAGAAATGAACGAGAAAAGAAGAGAAAAGCAGCAAGAGAAAATGTGTACCCTTGGAGAGAGCGCTCGGATTGTCGGCGAGCTCGCCGGCGGCGTTCATGAGCTCCTTGAGGGCGTCGGACACGGCCTTGGCGCCATCGAGCAGCGAGATGTCGCCACCGTTGGCGGCGGCGGCGAGCTTGGCCGCGGAGATGAGGTTGGCCAGGTTGGTGGCCAGACCGCCGGCGTGCTTGTTGAGCTCCGACCGCGGCAGACCGTTGCCGGCGTCACGAATGAGCGCGCCAGCGGCGGCCGCGAGGGCGTTGTTGAGGTTGCACAGCTCCTGGCGCAGCTGCTCGGGGGTCTTGCCGCCGTGCTGGCCGATGGGAAGCGGGATGAGGAGATCGTTCATCATGCTCATGATCGCGTTGTCGGCGTCGACCAGGTTGCCGATGCTGCCCAGCATGCCGGCCATGCCTGGCGACAGGCCCGGGAACTGGCCGCCGCCGCCCATGATCGCGCTCGAGCCCTGGTCGCCCCAGGTGCCACCATAGTCACTGTCACATTCCACACACCACGTCAGCACATTCCTCACAGCAATAAAATAGTAATAAATTGTGATGCGAATCGTACCTGGTGGTCACGCTCTGGATGGCCAGGCCGTGGACGGTGCCGACGTGCTCCTCGGTCGCGCGCTCGCCCTCGTCGTCTTCGATCACGACGCCACCGTCCTTGCGCTTCTTGAGCAGGATGTCGATGTAGCCGGCGAGCTGCTGGGAGATGGCCTCGGCGTCGGGCGTGCCGATGATGATGTACTCGTCGCGGTAGTCGCCGAAATCGAGCGTGAACGAGTTGGGGCCGGCGGCCCAGCGCTTGAGGTGGATGAGCGGGTGCTCCTCCTCGATCTGGCGGGTCTCGGGGTGCATGCAGATGATGTTCTCCTTGGTCACGCCCAGCATGAGCTCCTCGAGCCTCTTCTTGCCCTTGGGCTTCCACTTGCCGCGGTAGTAGGTGATACCGTAGGTCTTGAGCGAACGGCACAGCTGCACGTAGCGGTACTTGGCGTTGACCTCGGACATGTTCACCAGCTTCTTCCACTCCTGGACGAGCGGATCGTACAGGCCCTTGCTGCGGTGTGTCTTGGAGATGAGATCCTCCAGCTTCTTCTCCTTGTAGAAGGACTTGTTGTGCTTCGTGGGATCGAAGTTGCCATAGACGATCTGGCACTGCAGCGCACCGAACGCGATCGCCTCATCGCGGGTCACCGGGTGGTCGCCCTTCACCACAGCTGTGGCGAAGAAGAAGTGGAGGTGAGTGGTTTGTTTTTAGCTCCGATGAGCCGCCTGACGCGTTTTAGCTCCGATCAGCGAGAAAAGAACGAACGGCGTACATTCGTGGCACTGGACGTAGACGAGATGGAGCTGGACGGGGTCGCTGCGATCGACGCGGTCGTCGTCGACGTAGAACTTCTTTTTGAGGGTGACCACTGAGTCATCGAGGAGACCCTGCTCGACCAGCGTCTGCGTGGGGTTGAGCCAGCCCTTGGCCTCGGCACCTGGCGCACCATCGTCATCGTCAGCGCCACCACCACCATCATCAACAACAAAGCGATCGATGGTCAATGTGCGATGAGCGTACTGGGAAGCTTCTTCAGGACGGAGGGCCTGTCCTTCTTTTTCTTCTTCTTGAGCGTGTCGCCTTCCTTGGGCGGCTGGTCCTCCTCGTTGTACTGGAGGGCGAACTCCTCGGGGTTCCTGAGACCCATCTTCTTACCGATCATCTCCACGATCTCCGAAACCTGCCATACAAATATTTAATATTTAATATTAATTCATGAATCGATTAATAAAAGAATTGATTAATTAATATATATTTAATTCTTTATTGATTAATATTAAAGATGAGAAGGATGGAAACGTTACCGGCTCGGACTCATCGATCATCACAGTCTTGACGGTCTCATCGAGGAGCTTCACCTTCAGCGGTCTGTGCTTCTTTTTCACTTCGATCGTTTCCTAGGGAACGAACGGGGTAAGCACTCCGATTTGGCACAAATCAACTCAACTGCTGAGGTTTGGCGGGGAAGTACTCCGGCCTTGATGTCGTAGAAGAGAAGGGTCTTGTCGGGCCTCAGCCAACGGCCGAAGCGACCGATCTTTTCATCGGGGGGCTGGAACAGACCTACACATCGTCAACAAGAAGTTAGAAAGCACGGCTTCATCATCGATTCAGGATTGTTTTTCTCCTTGCTAATCGATCGTTGCGAGAAGATGAAGAACTCATCGAGGCAGAAAAAGAACGAAGATGGGAAAAAAACGAAAGCGAAGACGAAGACGAAGAAGAAGCGAAAGCGAAGGAGGGGGAGGGGTTACCGTGGTCACGGCCTCCTTCGTTGGTCTTGTCCTTGATGTCCCGCAGGGTCTCGGAGACGGACATGGTCTGGGTGAAGCGCATGGTCTTCGTCAGACCCGTAGTCGTGAACAAGATCTTTAGCTGGAGCGCCATCTTGTTCTTCTTCTTTCTCTACACTAGGATTCTTCTGTTCTTTCTGCTTCTTGCAGGAGCTTGCTGCGTGTTATGATACAACACACCACCTCTCTTCCTTTCGCCAAACTCGACTTTCTCGTCTGTCTGGCTTGGTTGGTGGTGCCAAGAAGGAATGATGAAAAAGGAGGAAAGCACGGCAAGCCGTTGGTGCATCCACGCACCAGAAGAAAAGACTCCTGGCAGCTCCTGATTGGCTCCGGAGTCCAAACTTTAATTTTTATTTCTGTCGACTCGAGAAGAAGAAAACAGTTTCTTTCTGAGTTTCGAAATTTCGTTCGACAGCGCCCCTTCAGTGAGGAAGTTACAGCGTTGCCTTCAGTTCAAGAGCCCGATCACCGAAGACGAAGAAGCAGGGGGAGTGGCAGAATAAAAAGCTGATCGATAGCAGTCAAGCACGACAACTACAAAGAACAACTTGCAACGATGGAAGCGAATAAGACCGCCCCAGTGAACGAACTCTGCCAAGTGGTGGTACAGGCGTCTACCACCCACGCCCTTCGTGGCGTGGTCAACAACGTGCAGGTCCTCTTCAACGTCATGACGGGTACCCTTTCTTCTTCTTTTTCTTCTTTGACGAGATCACCATACCCATCTCCATCTTCTTTTTGATTGACCATTTTTATGGGTAGGGCACACGGTGGAGGATACGGAGACGAAGCGTCCGCCCATCAACTTGGCCATCGTGCTGGACCGCAGCGGGTCGATGGACAGCGGCCAAAAGCTGAAGAACGCCAAGCTGGCCATCAAGAAGGTGATCGAGGCCCTGGGCGCAGACGATATCCTGCACCTGGTGCTCTACGGCTCCGAGGTGGAGCTGGCCTTCCAGAACGCCAGCGTCAAGGACCGCGAGTCTCTACTTGCTCGGGTGGACCAGGTCGTGACCGAGGGCATGACCAACATGCACGCCGGCCTCGACAAGGGTTCGCAGGTGGTGAGCGAGTACGCCAAGCAGGGCTACACCAACCGCATCTTCCTCTTTTCGGACGGCCTCGTCAACGAAGGCGTCACCAACAAACAGGAGATCTACCGGTTCATCTCCCAGGTACGTACAAGAGCGCAACGTCGTCTGTCTCAGCGGTCGCTACTAGAAACCGTCTCTTACGTATCTTCTTCTTCTTCTACATGTTCTGCAACAAGATCTACACGGAGAGGGACACCAAGGTGAGCGCGTTCGGTCTCGGTAACGACTTTGACGAGGAGCTGATGAAGAGCATCGCCGAGCACGGCAGCGGTGCCTACTTCTTCATCGAGGGCAGCGCGGCCATCCCTCGCTTCGTCGACTTTGCGCTCAAGGGCCTGTTCAAGCTGGTGGGCACCGACGCCGGTCTCAAGATCCGCGGGCTCAACGGCGCCGTGGTGACTAAGATCTACTCCCACCATGACCTCACCAAGCCCTACCAGTTCGGCGACCTCAAGCAGGACGACCACCGCAGCGCCGTGTGCGAGCTGCAGGTCACGCCCTCGGTGCAGCCCAGCGAGGAGGTGCTCACATGGGAGCTGGAGTATCGGCCCGCCTCCAACGCCGAGGAAACCCTGAGCTGTACGTCTGCTCTGCTTCACCCACTTTGTCTGCGGTGTCGTGGCTCACGTTCCTTCTCGTACTCTCCACCTACACAGCTGAGAGAGCGGTCATTAAGGGCACACTCCGCATCCACTTCACCGATAACGAGGAAGATGTGGCCAAGGGCGAGAACCCGCAGGTTCTGGCCAAGGTGGCCATCCAGCGCACGGGCGAGCTTGACGCCGAGCTCATCGGCCTCATCAGCAGCGGCAAGACCAAGGAAGCCATTGCCCTCACCGAGAAGGAGATCGTACGTAACACCCACCATGCGATCAACTGATGGGGGAGGCCTCTGACAAGGTTTGTTGTTTGCACGTGGTGCGCAGGAAATCCTGAGGTCTGCGCTGGACAAGGACCTCGATGGCAGCGCCAACATCGCAAACCACCTGAAGCATGTGGAGACTGCCCTGGCCGACCTTCATCGCGAGGGAGCCAGCAAGGCTAACATGAAGAAGGTACGCAGCCCAGTGCCTCTGTACGGATCCAGATCGCGTACAGGTTCTAATGTTATTTGGTCGCGCCTGTGCAGGCTCACCACAGGAACTACATGAAGAGGAGAGCCTCGATCTGCTACGAGCAGCAATACATCAGCGATGAAATGACGAAGGCAGCTGAAGACGAGGACAGCCCTCCTTCGAGCCCTCCTGCGAGCCCTCCCACCAGCCGTGCTGGATTGAACCGCCGCAATCTTCCATACTCGTAAGCGCAACTGCGTCAACCCCACTTGCAGGCTCACCGCCACGCCGTGAAGCAGCCTCCTCGTTTGTACAATCAATCTTACTCAAGACTAGTCCAACACCTCAACAACTGTCTACATCTTCTTCATGAAGAACGAAGCAAGAGAAGAACGAACGTCGAAATTCCAAGAAACCAAAGAACACCCACAGACAGATCGCTTCGCTTTAGCAACACACACAACGAAAGAGACCACGAACGGCAATGGGCGCTGAAGAAAGTAGACCACGATACACGCTCGTGCCGCCCGTGTTCAAGCGCAGGCGACCCCTGCGGTGCGTAGAAGTGAAATCCTGCTTGTTGCAACATGTCAAGATTGAAACCTCACATTATCTCCATCTTCTATATTTCGAATTGTAAAGATTTGTGGAGGCACACGAACGTGAGTACGACGAGGCTGGCAAGGAAGTGCGCAGGTACCCACCACTCTTCACCGTCGGTGCACCCTTTGGTGCGGCGAGAGCTGAGCCCGCTCTCTGGTGCTGGCGCGCAGGCTGCTTTCCGACTTGTACACAACGGACAGCTCGGTCAGTGGTGAGTTCTTTGCGTCGCCCGAGGAGAACGTGGTACGCCAGGGCTGCCCGCCGCCTGCACACGCCAAAGTAGTGGTGTGATCCGCTGACGGTTTAGACCGAAACACGACGCGACACGACCAACGACAGGACTGCTATGCGGAGATCCATCACCCGTACCAGAGCGTGGGCGGGAACACCATCGAGGGCAGCGCTCTGTTTACGTACGCGCTCACTGCGGGCCTTGCCTCGAGGCGAGTTTCTAGACTCACAGCCCTGGACGCTCTGCACGGGCGCACAGCGTTCGGTCGGAGCCGATGACGGTCGAGGGCCTGCTCTTCTCCAAGAACGGCGGCGGAGCGTCGATCACGCTGGGCTATAGGACCAAGGACGACAGCACCACCTCGTATGTTGCCGCCGAACACATGGTGAACAAGCCCGGCGGTACGCGCATTGCGCTCTCTGTCTCTCTTTCTCTCTGTCTCTCTCTTTGCGTTCGTCTGTCTGACAAACATTGGTCGACTCTGCTGCGCCAACGTGTGCCAACCAAGGCGGAAGCGGCACTGATCTGAAGGCCGGCATCTTCTACCGCTACAAGTACCTGTCATGCGGGGCCAGCGTCACCTCGCCGCTCGACCTGACGCTCAACGCCGCCAGGTAAGAGTCAGCGAAGTGAATCAAAGCAAAGCTGAGCTCTCCCTCTCTTGACTTGGCTGCAGCTTCTCACCTGTTCGACAGTCAACGAGGCGGGCTCCAGGCGCTGCGACAGCGCGTCGACGGCAACGTGTGGGCCATGTTCAAGCAGGGCACCGTCGCGCTGGGCACGGCTTGTCAGCTCGTCGACGGACGCCCTGGTGTGTTCTACACTTCGTGTGTGTGTGTGTGTGTGTGTGTGTGTCATCACCACTCACTTCCTGCTGTGCTGTGTCGGACCGCACACAGATGCGCTCAATGGTGTCATTTGCTACCGCAACCAGTGGACGCGACCCGACGAGCCGTGCACCGAGCTCACCATCCGCACCACGCAGAAGATCGCCGATGGACAGAGCGCGCCCACTTTCCACGGCTCCTACTACCAGCGCATGGTCACCCGCCGCAAAGTGCAGGTACTACGGTCACCCGCGTCTCGCACGCTTCTTCACTCTTCGCCGACTCACGCGCGCGTGTGTGTTCGCCTGGTCTCCTTCTAGAATCCGTTCGAGGAAGCGAATGTCCAGTTCATCACCAACTACGTCGACTTGGGCGTCGAGACCACGGTCGCCGCTACGGGCACCAAGATGGCAGTTGGCGCGGTACTCCTTCGTCAAGGACCCGCCTTGTGTTTGACGCCCTTCCGCGCTCACCCGATTTCTCTCTCTCTCTCTCTCTCTCTGGTCGCGCTGGGTGCAGGCGTGGCAAGTCAACAAGAACACGCTGGTCAAGGGCAAGATCGGCAACTCTGCGTTCTCATTCTTGGTGGCCGCCAAATCGTACACGGCCCTTCGTCTTGTCTTGCTCTTCTTCTAGAAGACTCCCGCAAGTGCCTCACCAGGGGTTTTCTGTGTGTGCGTGTGTGTGTGTGTGTGTGTGTGTGTGTGTGTGTGTGTGTGTGAACGACTGTGTACCGCGCAGGTGGTGGGACCCGTCGGCCACGGTGGCACTCACGGTGTCGAAGCCGTTCGATGGGGCCTCGCGGGGCACCAGGATCGGCCTGGCCTTCTCCATCGAGAACTGGGGCGGCATCGGCTACCACCGGCCCTCCGACACCTACAAGCGCTACGTTCCCATGCAGTACTTGCCTCCTCCCTCTCAGCTCAAGAAAAGTATGAGACCTCTCGCTGACCCAACACTGTCCGTGTGCGAGCAGGATGGACCGAGTAAGCGACGAGACCGAACCCGACACGGCGGAGGCCCTCTTGCGGCGCCAGAAGACGGCCGCCAACTGAGCAGACCTGATTCTTTTTTTATTCTTTGCTTTTTAATTTGAAAATACAAACAAATAAAAACAGGACAAAACAACAACAAATGGCGAGCAAGGACAACATCATGTTCCCCCTCTCCTTGCCCATTGAGGTACTCGACCACCACCACGACCTGCGACTTGGCTGGCGAAATGTGGTGGCTTGGCTGAAAACAACTCCTAACTCTCGGGGGGGACGTGAACAGCTGCAGCTGGGCATCTGGGCGCTACTCGACCGGAGGAGCCTCTGCAGCGCAAGTCTCGTGTGCCACGCCTGGCACGACCTCTCCTCCGACAATCACCTCTGGGTACCTTCTCGCCGCTACGCCTTTTTTTTTTTTTTTTTGTTCACTGAAGCCGTGGCTGTGCCGCGGCGGGGCTGAGCAGAAGGAGATGTGCCGCAGAGAGATCACGGAAGTGGAGTGGACGCCGCGCGCCCTGGCCCGCAACCACAAGTCGTGGAAGCGCCACTTTGGCGTGCGGCTGCGCGCCGCCGATCCCTACCTTGCTGCCTTGCGCCGTGTGGTGCCACAGCTGCTGGCCGACGCACGCACGCGCGGGTATAGCGCTGGTTTTGAATCGCTGTTCGCACGTTCTTCACTCTGACGCAGTAGTGCCTCGCTTCGTTCTGTGCGGGCCGTATTGAGGGGGGGCAGAGCGACCACGGAGACGGTGGACATCTCCATCAAGCTCTACTATGACCCCTATCGAGATCGGAGGTTCATTATAAGCAAGCCATTGCCTCACGCCATCAGGTAACCACGCCCCCTCCAGACCGCACTCTTCTGACAAGTGCTCATTGTTGTTGGCTCTGACTTTTTCTGAACACACGCACCACCGCACACGCACGATACAAACAGGCATGCGACATCGGCCAAAGCTCGTAGTGATCTCCTTGGCATCATTGGACCCGATGGGCTCACCGTTCTTTGTGACCAAGCCGCCAAGCTGGGCGTGCACTACTTCGACGCCACGCACCTGCGATCCTTCAACAAGGACAGGAAAGCGATCAAGAAGTGGGGTGCGTGATGACCTCTGCAGCACACCTTGGTTGGTTGGTTTTCTCACCTTCTCTGCTGTTGATCAGGGCGACAGCACCACTGCTTTTACGCCCATCACGAAATCATACGCATGGTCCCGCGACTCCTGGGGCCGCAGCTGAACAAGATGAGCAAGTTCCCTCGCCTGCTGCCCAGCGACGTTCCGCTTGCGGCGGTGGTCGAGGAATACCACCGTACGGCAAGAGTGGCCCTGCGCAAAGCTCCCACCCTGCAGGTGGCAGGTACCGGCACCTCCCCGCCCGTGGGCAGCGCATATGCGTGTCGTGTGTGTCGTGTGCAAGCAGTGTACTCACGCCATCTTTGTGTGGGTGGTGGGGGCAGTGGGCCACGTGGGCATGAGCGCGGAGCAGCTCATCCAAAACGTCAAGGCCTTCTCAGTTGCGCTGGTGGAGGTGCTGCCATCGTGGGATCGGGTCGCGAGCATCGCACTGCACGCCACCAGAGGACCGCCGTTCACCGTCATCTCTGCGCCACCTCCTCGCCGTTGAGAAGCAAGGCCGATAGCTATTGGCAGAGTGGCAGATGACAACAACTTTTGTTCTCTTTCACACGTCGACACATATCTACACCCGTTGTACAATCTGTACACTCACTCAGCTTGAGGTGTTCTCTCCTCTTTGCGCCGTCGTGCTCTTCGCCGCGCGCTACTCGTCGTGCTCCTCTTCCCTTCGTGCCTTCTTCGCCTGCGGCTCCTCTTCGTCGTCGCGCTCCTCCTCGCCGTCGCGCTCCTCCTCGCCAGTGTGCTTCTGGGCACAACCAAAAGTAATAAACCAGTGGAGAGGTCATGATTAAGGTTGCAATCACCAAAGTAGGACTGGTTGGGGAGTCACCTCTTGCTCGGCCATAGCGCGGGTTGAGCTGCGTTTCCTCACCTGAGAGGTCGGGGCCGACTTTCCAACTGCATTGACGATCTTGTCAAAGTTCCTGTCGAAGGCCCCCTTGCTCTTGTCGAAGGTCGCCTTCCTTGCGCCCATGGCTGCTATGGCCTCTTTGTGCTTCCTCACTTCCATCTCAAGGAGTTGAACTCGTTCACCTTGATCATCTCGATCCTTCTTGTGATCCTTCTTGAGCTGCGTGATCTTCTTCTTGAGCTGCTCGATCTCCTTCTTGCGCTGCTCGATCTCCCCGCTACGATCCTTCTTGAGCTGCTCGATGTCCCCGCTATGATCCTTCTTGAGCTGCGTGATCTTCTTCTTGAGCTGCTCGATCTCCTTCTTGCGCTGCTCGATCTCCCCGCTATGATCCTTCTCGAGCTGCTCGATGTCCTTCTGGCGCGCTGCAGTCTCTGCAGCAATCAGCTCCTCGAGGCGAGCGAATTTCTGGTCCGCAATTTGCTGATCCTGAGCCGCAAGCTGGATTTCCACAGCTGATTGAGAAGACAAAGATTTGTTTAGTACCGTTCTCGACCCTCTTCCAGCTAGCTATGTTGTAAGAGGTACCTGCGGCTGGTTCCAGCTCCTGCACCTTGAGTTGAGGATCAACAGCGGATTTAGGAGCAAGCCAGTCGTGCCAAACACTGACCGGGGCTGCAACAAGACGCGTGGGTGACTGGATCGCGTTGAATGAGCTCTCCTGCTTCAGGCCATAGAGCGCGACGGCATTCATGTCTGGCTATCTTCGAGTTGGAATTCTACAACACTCTACAAACCGTGCCCCGTTTGGGCGCCAAAAATTGTTTTTGGCGGGAACTTTTTTGTGCAGGGAAAAGCACGTAAAAATCAGGACGAGAAAAGGAAAATAAAATAAAGTGGAGAAAAGTTGAGCACCCAGGGATAGGGCGTTCGAGGTCCACTACCGGCCAAGAGCTTGAGCTTGAGAGCACCGGTCGAGGGGAGTGGGCTGCTGGGTTCGTGCTGGCCGTCCACCACAGCGCTCGCCAACACTTGTCGCCCTGCGGTGGGCAGCCACCGGGCCAGCCCCAGCTCCTGCTCAATCGGCACCGCCTTGGCCGCTCTGTCGGCGAACTCCTGCGACTCGGCTAGCTTGGCTAATGCACATGCGCGCGTGCGTATTGTAAGAAGGAAAACTGTGACAGCACCTGGCGAGAGTGGGTAAGGTGTGGGTACCCAGGATGTCGTTGTCGCTGCCGTGCACTCCGCGAGCGCGCGCCACCAGCCGACAAACCCCTGCCGTCGCCCAGCGCTGTCGTACATTTTTAGTTCCAAGTGTCATATGCATACGACTGTGCGTCGGCTGGGCAGGCGCACCTGGAGATCGTTTCGGATGGCGGGGTCGGCCATCAGCGCGTGGTGCGCCACCAACGCGGCCAGCTCGTCGGGCAACGCGCTCAGGTCGCCAGACTGCCCACTGGCGGTGGCGGCCAGACGCGCAGCGGCGGCCTCTCGGAGGGCTACGGCCTCGCCGGGCGGAGGCGGCAAGCACAAGCCCAGAAGCGCGACCACCTGCCGCATGCACTCGGCCTTGTCCTCCTCCTCGCCGGGGGCCGACGGCAAGGGAACGATGAACGTGAGGGCCACGAGCGCGGTGCCTCGAACTCGCAGCGGCCGCGCAGTGTCGCGAAAGATCGCCGTGAGAAGCGGCATCGTCAGAGCCCATTGATCGGGGCACATCTGCACCGCGCCCCCATTCACCTTGAGTTTGTGTGCGTGTGCGGCGTGTGCGGCGTGTGCGGCGTGTGCGGCGTGTGCGGCGTGTTCATGCGCACGTACAGCAAAAAGTTGAATGGCCGCCAGCGCGGTGTCAACATCGCTGTGTCCGGAGAGCGAAAGGTAAAGCTGCATGTGCTCCACCTGGTGGTGCGCAACATATATCAGGCGCGCGTAGGGAGTGTTCAGATCAGAGCGGAGAGAAGCGAGGGATTGATGAGGGGTGTTGCGTGCCACTTTGTCGTGGATCTCCTTCTTGAAGGGCCGGTCGTTGAGTGGATCCTCTAATGCGCCGTTGCGCCCGACCATTAGGAACTCGTCGACGCTACCGCCCAGCAACATTTCCGCCAATGCCTGATTGCAGCGTGAGTGTGTTGCGCCTACATACGCACACGGCACACGCACACGCACCACCGCACACTCACACAGAATGACATGTTATAAAGACGTACAGTGAGCAGAGAGCGTTTGTTGAGAACGCACGGGTAGTCGAGGAGATAGATGAGCCATTTCGCTACCGCGAGCGCTGCTTGATTGCCTGCAACGAGAGTCAGCCACAAGAAACGATCTACGCTATTGTCCCACAACATTCTCTAACCTTGGTAAGGCACGGAGGAGCGGTCGAGCCCATGGAGGCTGCGTGACTGTGCCTCGGGGTCGGAAGAGGCCAGGCCGCGGATGAGCGAGGGAAACTGAGTGGCTGTCTCCGAGATCAGACAAGTTGGCTCCGTGCGTTTTATTATTTATTTATTTATTTACTTATTTATTATTCCTTGCTTTTGTTTGTTCGTGCGTGCGTGCGTGAGACTGTACCTTGGGGATTGCTTTCGCACAGCTGAACCCAGTTCTCGTCATCGAGACCCGCAAAGTCGGGAATCCTGCGCAGCACCCAAGCAATGTTGTACTTCCGCCCACGAGTGACTGCGTTTCCCGAGGGGGAGGAGGGCACGCACCACTTGCGGCCGATCAGATGTGGCTCGAGCGGAGCGTCAAGAAACGCCTGCAGTGCTGCTCGCGTGCCCGGCAGGCCTTTGGCCTCCAAGAGTGTCGTCGCTTTTCCTTGTTCGGCCGATCCGTGGCCGCTGGTGGCCGCTGGCCTGCGCCCATCATCATCGTGGTCGGTCATTATTAGAGGCCTTTCGCCGCCAGTCATGCAACACACACCACGTACTCGAGCCAGGCCCAGGTGTTGTCGAAGTGGGGCTCGAAAGCAAGTCTCCGCAGCACGCTGATGAGGGTCGCGTCTCGCAGGTCGTGCACAGTGGTGCCCTTGTGCAGCGGCTCCGGCAGGATGATGTCCAGCAGCAGAGCGACACACAATCTGCGCGCGCGACACATGAAACATGGCTAAGGCGCGTGTGCGTCGGTGAGTGTCAGTGTGGGCGAGGCGCGTGCGAGTACGTGGTGTCGGTGTGTGGTGGCAGCGAGTTGAACAGATGGAGCAGGCGTGGGAACACATGCTGCTTGGTCCACACAGCGCCCACTTCCATCAACGCCTCTTGCATCATCTGCCAAAGCAAGTTTGGGAGGTTCTTTTCAGAAGAATGAAGAGCGAAAGCGAGAGAGAAGAGCGAAGGAGTACCTTGCCGAAAGAGAATGTAAGATAGGTCGGGTCCTAGAGTTGCGGCACAAAGAGGGATGGGTTGGTGGAGCCAGGGGAGAAGCCACTGAAAAGGCTCTCTTTCTTGGCACGGTACGCGTCCAGCTTCGCTTGGCACTCAGGCGGCATGTCCGGTGGGAGCAGCGCTGTCACGGGCACATACTTTACGGCCCAGGCGTTCACCGGACGCAAAGCATCACCTCCTGCGGTACCGATTTCGTGTCATTGCCTGAGTGCGAGTGCGGTGGTGTGTGCGCGTGCGGTGAAGATCTTGTTGGGCCAACACGACACGCACCTGGGACGGTGGCCCATGCGGCCGCGACCTGCGTGTCGTCGGCCAGCACCGCGAGCGCATGTTCGATGGCATCCACGGGCGGGTTCACGAGGCTGCGCACAGCGCTCCATGCCATCGCCGCCTTGGTGATTGTGCCACAACCAGCTCGCATCATCACCGCCTTTGACACGTCTGGTTGAGCCTCTTCCGAGTCGTCATCACATTTGTCTCCGCTTTCTGTGTTATCACGCACATCAACAACACACGAGTGCGTGAGTGCGATAAATGTGTGCATGAGTGGTGGTGCGTGAGTCGTACTGAGGTATTCACTAGCGCGCCAAACGCCGCCCCAAATTCTAGCCAGCCACTTCTTCGCTGAAAGAATCTTATCCTCATTACCCGCCATGCAACTGTACATTTCGGGAGGGTGAGCGCCAGTACTGCACACGCGCGCACTTTATCCGAGCTCTCCTGCTCCATGCGCTCCACCAGGAATGGTATGATGTTCCAGCTGTCGGGGGAACTGGAGTTGGTGGCCCAAAACGTTTGGGATGATGGCGTGTTGTCCCTTTTGCTCCAACACAATCATTCCACTTTTTATTCCTGTTTTCTTGTTCCTTGTTTCCGTTAGTGGAAGTGTCGACATAGCGCCAGGTTCCCCCGCAGTCCCCATCTCACAGTGGAGGCGCCGTCGCAAAAACTGTCGCCACAATTTTATCGCTCAAAACCGGTCTAGGCCCCCAACGCCCGTCCCGGAGCTTAACGACAGCCAATCAGGCCGTTGTCTCAGGGCGCCAAAATTCAAGTGTCGACAAAAACGATAGCGCAAGGGAAGCTGCGTTGGCCAGGAAGGCACAAGAAGCCGGCGGAGGAGAACACCGCGCTACCGACGAGAGAAGGGAAAGTCCACTTCTAGTTGTCCGTTGCCTTCGTGCTGCCGGCCTCTACTTCAGTAAGTAACCAGTCCGCTCGGATTAGCGAGCGTAGTGTGTGTGGACGGAGAGAGAGCAACACAGCGAGAGGCTCGAAGGAATCGAGAGAGAGGAGAATTAATTATTTTACCATTTGCGCTGCCTCCACAGTCTGAACATCCGCAGAAGATAGAGGCAAGATGAACATCACAATCGAGTTCGATTGGAAGCACATTGCGGTACCCGTGATCGGCGCCGCCTTCGCTGCGGGCGTGGTTCTCCTGTGCCAGATCGTGGCCGAGAGGGCACGGTCGATATGGGGCGGCATCCTCGGGTACGTCGCATCTTCAAGCTGACCCAATGAAGGAGTTGTCCTAGCTCACGGGCAAGATCGCTTGTGTTTGATTTTACAGCACCATGCCACAGACTGCTGGTGTTGCGGCCTTTTGTATAGCGCTAGTAACAAATGACAGTCAAGCATTCCAGGATGCCATGTTCGCTGTGCCCCTTGGCACGTACGTACCCGCCCATTTTTACAGACGTAACTCATCCCCCCCCCCGCTGAGATGGTAATTGACATTTTTTGATTCAATTCTTCAGCCTCCTGGGCGTGCTCATATTCTGCATCTGGAAGTTCTTCCCCATGATCACCCTCAACCTGAACATCAACGTCAAGCAGGCCATCGTTGTGATCGCTTCTCTCGTCCTATGGGTCGGAGGCAACTTCTTCATCGTTGCCATCCTCAAGGGTACCCTCTTGACTACAATCTCCCCACCTCTTGCGCATTCGCTAACATCCCAAATCCACAGGCAAGGAGATCAAGTCCTACGACATCTTGCACGTGACGCTCTTCTTCTTGGCCATCGCCTATGTCATCGCCGTCGTCGCGGGCTGCTTGTGCATGCGCAACTATGTCCGTCCCCGAGACTACACCGTACGCACCTCTCCTCTACTGTCCATGGAACCGTGACGCCAAGCAGGCCACGAAGGCACGCTTGCTAATTCGGTGCGTGTGTCCCTTCTTGTACAGGGCCGTGCCAAGTTCTGCATTTACATTTGGAAGCCCATCTGCGCCGCTTTCATCACGGCTCTCGCGGCTTTCCTGGCCACCCGGTTCCAGGTCGTGTCCGGTCTGACCGCCGTCTTCCCGCTCGTCGGCATCGTCTGGCTGCTCATCATCTGGACCGAGCACGGTGAGGCCTACATGACCGGTCTTGCCAGTACGTAACCACCTCGAGTACCGCCCGTCCACCATTCATCCCCATCTCACTCACCGCCATCGCCTCTCTTTGCGTGCACAGCCACCGTCATGCTTGGCAACCTGTCCAACGGAGTCTACTGCATCATCTTCGGCCTGATGTACCCCTACCTCGGTGCCTGGATCGGCGGCGTCGTGTCCTGGGTCTTCTCGCTCTTCCCCTCGGCCATTCCCATCGGCATGGCCCTCTACTGGAGGAACAAGACCGCCGAGAAGGAGCGCGATGCTCGCAAGGCCGAGGAGGCCGGCATGGACCACCTCGAGGATGGCCACCCCGACGAGGAGGGTGAGATTGTTGGCATGCGCAGCGGCGGCCGCAACACCACCTACGGTGCTACCGAGGGCGGCTACGACGGCTACAGCGGTGGCGGCGGTTACGGCGGTAAGGGCGACGACGGCTACGGTGGCGGCTACGGCAAGGGTGGCGACGATGGCTACGGTGGCGGCTACGGCAAGGGTGGCGACGACGGCTATGGCGGCTACTCAAGCGGTGGCGGCAAGGGCGACGGTGGCTATGGCGGCTACTCGAGCGGCGGTGGCAAGGGCGACGACGGGTATGGCGGCGGTTATGGCGGCGGCAGAGGTACCACTCCATCTTCATCTTCTTTTAGCTCTCTCTCTTCCCGTTCTGGCACATGATGTTGATCATCTTTGTCTGCTTCGGTAAAAGGAGGAGGCTATGGTGGCGGCTATGGCAAGAACGACTACTAAAGCGCGAGAGCTTCCAATGAAACTACAACACACGGATTGTATATATAGCGCCGGCCCTTCAAGCTCAGCCACACTCCCCACGCTCTCTGACAGCGTTCCTCCCCCCCTCCCCTCTCTTCCTCTTCCTCTTCTACTCTCTACCGGTCTCATCATCACCGCACATGTCGGCCTCGTCGAACGAGGCCTCCTGCAGCTTCCTCTTCTCTTCCTCCTCTTTCGTCCTTTTTCTACGAACGAAGCCCAATAAATAATAAGCCATTCTAGAGGGAAGATGATCAAGGCTGTTCGAAGTGGGAGATGATTAGATGTGGGTGGATGAAGAAGGTGGCCAAGAAGAAGAACGTGTTGTGCACCCAAGGTTTTCGTAAGCGGGTGTTTTGGGTGGGTGGTGGAGCTGCGCGACGGTGGGGAGCTCCCGGATTGGCCTGCGGCACGGTAACACTGACGGGCGAGCGGCGCGGAGACAAAACAGCCGTGAGGTTAGTTCAGAAGCACGCCAGTTTGATCTGGTGGCTGGTGTACATGTTGTGAAGACGAAGGAGAAGGAGAAAGGCCCAAAAGGACGAAGGCGAGGAAGTGAGTGACAGAGAAGAAGGAGAGGCCACAATAATGAACGAAGAGCGCATTGACGTCGTCGTACGTGGTTTTTACTATCCATCTCGCAACTCTCTCATCTTGCTTCTCATTCATCTCCGTATATTGTTGATTACTCGTTATTTTTGTGGTTATGATTTGAGGTGGGGGGGG